TTTGGGACAGAGAGAGACAGAGCATGAATGGGGGAGGGGCAGAGAGAGAGGGAGACACAGAATCGGAAACAGGCTCCAGGCTCCGAGCCATCAGCCCAGAGCCTGACGCGGGGCTCGAACTCACGGACCGCGAGATCGTGACCTGGCTGAAGTCGGACGCTTAACTGACTGCACCACCCAGGCGCCCCAATATTTAAATCTGTAAGTTCATAATGATAAATACTTAAGAAAAATATTGGTCACCTTTGGAAGATGGCAAATTGCCAATTTATTTTGTAACTGGTAAAACAGTGAGAAAGAATATGCATTTATTCGGAATTTTCTAATGAAAGTATACTGCTGTGCTAAGGGCAGGGCCTGCTTAGGATTCTCTCTTACTGCCCAAAGAAAAAATTTCTCTTTATATATACATTAAAAAAAAAAAAAAAGGAATGTTAGAATTGAAATAAACCAATTCTGCAATACCTAATAAAGTAAGGATATCGGCATTAAGTATCAATGACTGCTAATATCACAAAAAGGAGGCGATCTTGCTTTATGCACCTGTGGCTAAAGCAGCACCAACACCTTAGGGCAACACCTCTTGCCCTAAAATAGCAAAACTGAATCCAGTTAAGCATCTAAATCCAATTACCAATTTATGGGAAATACAGAAAAATCTGCTAAATGACATGGAAAGATATCAGCAAAATCCAGCCTGTGTATCTACATCCACATCTCCAGGACAAATGATCTAGAGGCTTCTTCAAATGAACTTAACAAGGGGGAGTAAAGAGTTGGAGGAAAACTATAAATTCAGAGAAACTTAAAAAGACATATATTAAAGATGCAAAACTACAGTTTCATTACTGGATGATAAAAATCATACAGAGAAGTAAGGAAGTGATTGCTATAAAAATTCAGAAGAAAGGCTACTCTGGGGGAGTGGGTCAAGAGAGGACTGTGTTTGGAAGCAGTTTCTGAAGCAGCAAGTTAGAGTCTCCTGGTATGAATGGTGGTCACAAGGGGGTTGCCTTATAATACTTCATTAAACTCTGTATATATTACGTGGTTTTCTGAATTTGAGTTATACTTTAAAATAGCACAAATTTAAATAAACAGATTTGTAAATTAGAAATCCTTTTAAATTTATTAATCTTAAGTTCTTAGAAAAATGTACTAGAGTATATGAAAGGACAAGTCAAAAAGTTCTATAATCTCAGAATATGGAGAGAAATATTTTAAAAGGGTTAATGTACAACCTGAGGAAAAACTAGAAAGTAAAGAAGTGCACTAAGTTATAGTTTTACTATTATAAAAAGTGTTTCCTCTCATGGTAGCAGCATTTTTGCCTTCCTATAAACTTGGGGGCTAGGAGAAATCAAAATATAATGAGGTTAATCAGACTGTAACTTAAATATTCTAAAATGCAGTCAATATTTAATGAGAAAAATAAAGGCACAAGTTTCAGAGAAAAGAAAATTCTGACCTAGGTTTTCTCAGCAAAAGAAACACGTAGTCAAGACCTAACTAAAGAAGAAAATATAATCTTGGAAAATCACAGAAAAACTTATCAACTCTAAGTAAAATCTATTCAATTATCGTTCCAAAAATAGCATGAAATAACTAACAGGAATTTGTATGTTTGGAGGGAGCCCTGCACCCTCTCTCTTCCCATTCTCTCAATTTTATGTAGCAAAATCATGGGAAGCGGAGCTACTCCTATCATTTTAACTGTATCTAAAAACTCTGTACAGCAGAGGCTGGCTTTGACTACAACTATAATAGACAAAAAAGTAAAGAAGGATGAGAAAGGCGGGGGGAAGAAAAGCATATAATGAGTACATCTTGTTTATGATACAGATTCAATAAATACTTGTGAGTTGATGAAAAGGGAATATAAGAAATTTTAGATTCTGGATCCAAGTTAATGGCAAAATTCCTAGGTTCTCCATTTTCAGATAGTCTGATAACAGCATTTTATTATTTTTTTTTATTTTTATTTTTAAAAATTTTTTTTTCAACGTTTTTTTATTTATTTTTGGGACAGAGAGAGACAGAGCATGAACGGGGGAGGGGCAGAGAGAGAGGGAGACACAGAATCGGAAACAGGCTCCAGGCTCTGAGCCATCAGCCCAGAGCCCGACGCGGGGCTCGAACTCACGGAGCGCGAGATCGTGACCTGGCTGAAGTCGGACGCTTAACCGACTGCGCCACCCAGGCGCCCCTGATAACAGCATTTTAAACGCCTATCAATATGGCCTCTTATAAACACTGCTTATTTCACTTTAAATATTCAAAATATAGTGAATTAAAGCAGTGCTGGACAACCAACATTCCGTCCTTAGTTGCCTCTCTCCTTCTAAAGTACGTTTCTACATAGGAATTTGTCCTGATCTATACATTCACTCTTTCTAACTAGTCTTCACTTTTTCCTTCTGACTTGGTGAAGTCTCTACTTTGTTTATTTCCTCTTTGCTGTGTTCCCAACAAGGAGGAATGAATAATATCTCTTTGTCAAAGCAGTTTAAGCAGTCATGCCTATGAAGACTTAACAATACACAATGGATTTTTTCTTTTCTTCAAAGAGAGAAATAGGCTGAAGAAACAAACAAAAAAACCTTGCAAGAAGAAAATGCGGAGGAATGTGTCCAGGCTTCCTTGAGTTAGTGGCATGACTGTGTTCATTCAACAAATGTTTATGACGTGTCTCCTGGTGCCAAGCAATACACTTTTACTTCCCTTCCCATATTCAAACTCCAGCTACTACTAAATGCAATTAAAATCAAAGTGATATTTCCAATTGTTAAGGGAACCACCTTCTCCCTCTTCCCATGATCCTGTGAGTCCTTAAAATAGGTACACCAACTTTCTAGAAGATGTTATAGGCTCATCACCATGATGGAACAATTGATTTATGTGACAATTTACTATCTAGTCCATGTGTCTTTAGTCCAGGTTTAATGTACCAAAGGTACCTATGAACATACGGTATCTGAATCTCGTCTGCCTCACATCCCTATTCTTATAGAGAATACCACACAGTCCAATGCAGACTCCTCTTTTTCAAAATCTAGGTATGAGGAAAAATTAGAAAATCCACTTGGCCTTGGATCCAGGAGGTATTCTCCGATTCAACGTTTCCAGTAATTAACCTAATTATTTTCTTTTTCATGGGGCTTGTACTCAAGACTCAAGAGTCGCATGTTCTACCAACTGAGCCAGCCAGGCACTATTAACCTAATATTTCAAATCCTATTGTATATCTGTGTCTGTTTTTCAATTGATTCAGAATTTCTAGTAGTATAAAATGATCATCCCAAAGCCATAATACCAACCAAAAAATATGAGTCTGGATTAAGTTAAATAAGAGATTTAAAAAAATGAAACAAAACAACAAAACCCAACACACACACATACAAACTTTCCCTTTACTAAGTCAACTAGGTAGGTAAAGGTACCAGGAATTATGAGATTGGGTTTTCCTGTCCATCTTTTCATAGAGGGTGAGTGTTTGGTGGCTTAGAGTCACAAAAATACATAACCTCCACGAGCAAAAGCAAGAAAGAAACAAAATTGGCCAGAAGTTTTGATCTTATTAACCTAATAAATAGCAAAAACTCCTTAAAAACCGAAAATTATTTAAATCTACCTGATGCCCCTCAAAATTATAAAGCAGCTTACAGAGACATACAACAAAATTTATACAAAATTAAAATCCTCTGTTTTATTATGGTATAGTAATGATTTGTGCTGTTTTAGATACCACAATCCTTTCATGCTCCTGTTTTCACCTATTTCTCACGCCCCAGAAGTACTCAAAAATATCTAGAAGTCTCAAAAACAAAGAAGCATTAAGGTCCTCAAATAATTTCTATAAAGCCACTTTTCTATAATGATTCCTAGTATGTCACCTTTTCTATCAAAAGAACATATAATATCCAGTCAGTTATATCTGACAGTACCAGAAGACATCTATATTGGAGGGCTCTGATCAACTTCTGGTATTCAAAACACAAATATTCATGTATCCAACATTTCCACTTGACTATTCTCTTTCCTTCAGATTCTATTATCTAAAATAATTTCCTTAAGTCATATTTAATCCAAATGATTACCAAAACACTTACACACTAATGAACTTGCTAAAATATCTATTTCAGTACTTCAATACCCATATTAACCAAATCTTTTTCTTTAACAAATCAAATCTCAAACCTCCTCTTTGCACATAATGTCCTTTAATACTTTATCCTCCTCATATATCTTTGTTATTTATTGAGTTTTGAAGCGGTCAGGAAATCTACATGTTCTGGACAGGGGAAATACTATCCCCACTGCTTGTATCTATTATGACCCATTTCCTCTGAGGCTTCTGTTCATTTTTATTACTGCTGGTCTATGCAATTCCACGGTTTTTCTCCAATTCTACTTCTTTCTAGCTGCCCATAGATCTAATAATCTCTTCAAACCAATATGATAGCTTTGGTGTCCAACCTTTAACTCTCAGTTTGAAAAAAGCTACTACTCCCATAAGCAGTTCAAACATTATCAGTTCACTGCAACAACCTGTGATTTAACATTTACCAACTTCTAATGTGAAAGCATTCCCATTTCACCCTACAGATACGTATATACAAAAGTCAGAAGAAAGAAATTTACACACAAAATGTCTGGCATTTGGTTCATTTTAAGCATTTATTAGTTCATCTATATTAAGTTAAACAATGACCTTCAGTTTTAGATTGGTAAGAAACATGATAAATTCTCTAATAGAAAATATTACATATCATTTATTCCTTTCAGTAGAGCAACCCAATACATACCTCTGGAGAAAATCAGTTTCTTCTGGATTTATCCAAGTAACAGAGAATAAATCCACATTAGTTTATTTAAAAAAAAAAAAAAGACTAAAACGTGCCCTATAAACATCACTGACTCAGTATGCCAAAAGATATGAGATTTAACTAACTGTTAGACCATTTGCTGAAATGTAAAACTCAGTAAGAGGCCGTAGTTACCTCTTTTTGTAGATGAAGTTTGAAGCAACTGTTTGGCTTTGAGGGAAGTACGAGGCAAATTTTTCAGCCTTTGCGAAGCTGTTGAAAAATAAGGAACTGTAATATTTGCCTGAAAGGACAAGATAAAGGCTATAGCTTCTGTAAACGTGAATATTTTAATACATACTTGAAAATTTATCAAGGAACAGAAACCGTAAGGTGAAAATATGTTAGACTCCTAGAAGCAGAGGAATCTGAAAGTGATGCTTAGTGCATTAAGTTGGAAAGAAATAGGGATGGAAATCTTAGTGCAAAGTGCATACTTTCAGAAACAGTTTCCTATAGATGAGAAAATCTACAATACTGTAAGCCAATCAAAATATTAAAGAGAAAACAAACCACCGGCAAACATGCTACAGGATGCAAAGAATATAAAGCTAATTAAGTAAAAGTGATGAACACAAGCACACAGTATAGAATAAAATAAAAGTAGTACTTGTTCAATGCAAAAAAGCAGACTTTGGCGAAGCAGTTATTGTTAGATGAATTGCCCTAACATAAAACAGTAATCTCCATACTCAAAAAGGAGAAGAAAACTCAGAACCAGGCAGGTACTCAAGGGAGTCAAAATCCAGTGGCTTTAACACATTTAACATCATCTTGCTGTAGAATAAAACTAATTTATACTTTAGACTTTGGGTAGCAACATATCTGGTCTGTGCACATATGTATGTGGGGTGGGGAGGGGTATATGAGGGGGGCTGCACAGTGTGTGTTGGTGGGATTGATGGGTTTGGAAGAGTCAAAGCATCTCCTTCTTAAAGTGATCAATGAGAAGTTCTAAGCTTTCTTCAAAACTCCTAATCTATTAACTGTAATGAAACTCTCAAAAGTAGCAGCTCAGAGCCATCCAGAGTTAAAACTCACTACAGCTTCACTGAACTGAAAAGTCCCAAACCTACCAGTATAGTCGCCTATTTAAGTGGTTCTAAAATGTCACTACTGATTTGAAAGTTGGACTTCATATACCTGTGGGATTTATATGCCAGAGAGAGAGAGAGAGAGAGAGAGAGAGAGAGAGAGGGAGAGAGAGAGAGATATCCCACAACCATAAATCTGGCCAGCATTTAAACAATCACTGGGTTGATAAGGGAATACTTGATAATACCATCAAAGAGAATTAAGGAGAATTTCTCTTTTGCTCTATTGCTTAACCCTATCAATGCTGAAAAGCTATTGTTTCCCCACTGTCTGAGAATAAATATTTTTAAAGAGTAATAAATGTATGTGATTTCAAATTTACAGCACTCCACATGTTACTGTAGTTAAATAAGACACCAATTTAGCTTAAAGATTCCCAGGAAGACTAGTAAAAATTTCTCCAAACCTTAAAAAAAGTCAGTTTTATAATTACCTCATATCTACCCCACAGAAATACAGGATGCCATCATCATTGAATATTCTTACATATTTATTCATATATCCTTTCAATCATTCATAGGGTCATTCATTTACTCATTCATTCACTGCTGTTTTTCATTCTTTCAAATATTTAATTATCTACTTTATTTCTGGTACTGTTTTAGGTACAATAGATTCATTTAATAGCCAACTAGAAAGACAAAATTCCTACTTTCATGGAACTAACATTCTGGAAGGAAAGGAGAAATAAATAATAAACAAAGAGTCAAACAGTCATATAGTGATAGCTGCTAAGGAGAAAACTAAGTAGGGAAGGCAGAGAGGAAATGGGAGATATAAGTTGTGATCATAAATAGGGTGATCAGGAAAGAGTTCCCTGAGATGACATTTGCTCAAAGATGTGAAGGAAGGCAGGAAGCAAGCCATATAGATATCTGGGGAAAGCATTGCAGATAGAAGGAAAAGCCATGGTAGAGTACCTGAGGTAAGAGTGTGCCCAGGAACAGGAAGTAGGCCACTAGGATTGGAATAGAGTAAATAAGGGCAAAAGGTCACCGACTGTATTTACGCTGGCAATCCACAATACCTATCAACAACTGAATTTTTTTTTTTTTTTTAAATTTTTTTTCAACGTTTTTTATTTATTTTTGGGACAGAGAGAGACAGAGCATGAACGGGGGAGGGGCAGAGAGAGAGGGAGACACAGAATCAGAAACAGGCTCCAGGCTCCGAGCCATCAGCCCAGAGCCTGACGCGGGGCTCGAACTCACGGACCGCGAGATCGTGACCTGGCTGAAGTCGGACGCTTAACCGACTGCGCCACCCAGGCGCCCCAACAACTGAATTTTTTTAAATGAGAGCTTAACATCAAATAGAATCTATAATTTGTTTTGGAAAGGTCATACTTAAATTAATAGCTATGATAACTCCAATGAACTTTATTTATCCCTCAAGTTTCATGGGTCACAACATGAAAACTATCCAATGGGAATTTGAAGAATAAGATTGCAAATAGAATCAGGCAGTGTACTCTAAATTTGTCTGATAAAATTTTTACAGAAGGAAATGAGTGATTTTCCTAAGATACTACATAGCCTTGTATTACCCTTAAATAAGAAAACCAAATTTTTATCTGAATTATCAATCTTAACTTGATCAGTCTTCTAAAGACAAAATTATTTTTAAATGACAAAGTGTAGTAAATTGAAAGTCTCCAAATCCTTCTAAAATAATAGAATTCAGTGTGTTAGCTGTTTAAAAATTCTTACGGTTTCCTTGGTTTCTCTTTTAATATTTATATAATTCCAATCAGCAAGACTCCACCGTGAAAAGTAACGATGGCACAGTAAAAATATCATTCTCTCATGCTACCATTATTTAGGTTGAAGTCTTCCTCCACTGACCAGTTCCAAAAACCTTTGTATTTGTGTTAAACCTACACCACCATTTTCCGAGTCATTCTAGCTCAAAGTTTTCTTACTTTATTTCCATTTAGTCTCCATGCAGTTCTGTAGATCTCTTCCTTTACATCTCTACTGTCTCCTACACATTTAATTCAGACCTTCATCACCCTATTTTTGAATGAGAACAGTGGCTTTTTGGGTCTCCACTTTGTGGATTGTGCATCGAGGGAAGGACAGTGAAAGTGCTGTCCCACCCCCCAACTCCAGTGTAGGCAGTAAGTGAGTGAATGGTCTGTAAGGAATTCAGAACAACAACAAAAATATCCCAGCTTGATCTGTTTTTTTATCATCATCATGTCCCAGGATTAATAATCAATGTCAGTAATAAAATGCTCCTCCCTGAAGAAAACAGTTTGTTGGCCTAAGTTATAAACACTTGCTGCAGTTACTGTTGCCTTTAATAGCATATATGTAAGATTTAAATGAACATATTTTAATACTTATGTTTTAATATATATTGCATTTCACATGAAAAATAATTAGAACTCCCAATTATATAGTCTTCTTTAAAACAGGTGGATTCCACTACATGTTTCTTTCAAAAAGTTCATAGAGATTTGAAATCAAGTTCACTTAGCACCTTCAACTCCCTGTGGTACAATAATACATTCCTATATTTAGACAGATTAGAAATAAACAATGCTGGTATAGTGATTATAAAGTCAGTGAAACAGAATATGAGTTACTTCAATATTGTCATTGTATGTGACTGGGTATTATTTAAGATATTTCAACTGTGAAGGCATTAGATTTGATCCCCAAAGGAACTAAGACACAGACAAGAGGACAATTTCTGAAATGTATTATAAAATGGAATTTTATGAAATTCTGCCATGCTTATCATTATGTTGAATATTCCCCTATTTGTATAACAGTTGCCTGGTGAGGGGCGGGGGAACCTTCCCAGGTTTAAAAATTGAAGACTATTCTTCAGTCAAAATGAGTGATGATAAATTGATAAATCTGACTGTAGTGTTGCTTTGAGCTTCAATATGCAAGATCAATTCTGACAAAGATCAGCTATTGACAAATTTATAGAAACTAAACCTGTAATATTCATTACTGTGAAAGACTAATAAAAACATACTTTCCTTTAGAAATGATTAAAAAATACTAACCCGTTATCTTTTTTCCATTATAATGCTGACATTATGATTTATTTACTAACAGTTATAAAGTTCAATAAAAGAATATTTTCATTGCCTGCATTTCCCCCAGCCATTATTATTATAACTCATTCTATTTAATTATTATTGAACATAATTTTGTCACATGGGGAGATGCTAAAAATAATCTCCAAGTATGAAATACTAAATAAACATAAGTCACTATAACAGATGTTAATTACTGCTAAGTAAAATGACCCCTGTTCCCCCTAACCCTGCAATGACAGTTTGTTTTGAAACTTTTATTGCTTACAAATTCTCAGAGTAACCCTTCAATCCTCTCTTACTCCCCACCTCTCATCTTCTCAGTGTTACCAAGTTACATCTCTTCTACTTCATTTTTTAAAGTTCATCCAGATCCTATCACCTCCTGCACCACTGCCTTTGTTCAGATACTCATTTCTTGCCAGGTTTATGCAATAAACAGGCTTCTACATGTTTCTAGTCTCTCCTCCACTTTAATCCATTCTTCACATTGCTACCACAATGGATTTTCTAAGAAGTGGTAACCTTGATTAAAAGCCTATCATGGCTCTCCACACTTACAGGATGAAATCCAAATTCCTTATTAAAAACCTCCCAATCTGTCCCTGGTAGGTATCTCTCCCATCCTACATCACTGCATCCACTAACCATCTTGCATCCTACACTTCAGTCCTACAAAACCACCATAATCAGGATGCTATTCTTAAGACTTCATTACCAATCGTACTGTAGGGTAAACCTATCTTTCTTTTCTTCATATGGTCTCATAAGCTCTTCCTGAGCTAGCTGAGAGATAGCTTCAATATCTTTCCTGAAAACCTCTTTACACTGCTGAGTTTAATGCCTTTGTTCTGTTCCCACAGAAGTTCTTGCCAATCACTTCCTGCTACTGAAGGGCACGTGCTGTCTCATTTATATTTATAACCTCAGAGCTTAGAACATAATATACACCCAACAAATACCTGTTGAATGACTAAGGAACACATGAGTGGATAAAACCCAGAGATCTTAACTAAGCATTCTAGATCCTCCTAATCTAGTGGTTCTCAAACTTGAGTATGCCCTAGAGTCAGGTGAGACACTTCTAAAAAAGTAGATTCCAGGTACCCATCCCAGATGTATTCAATCAAAATTTACAGAAGTGCCAGAAAAACTACATTTGTAAAACCTCTTTGTTATTATATAACTGACTCATCATTATGTTCCTTATTAAAAAAAAAATCTACAAATATGTCACTCATTCTTATATTAGCCCATTACACAGGTTATTCATGACTTATTTCTTTGAATTTATGTTTCATAATTATGTAAAATTCAAGCATAATCTTTCAGTGTTTGGTTCTAAACAGTATCTGGATGAGGATTCCTTCCCCATGGGCCTCAGAAAGTCTGGTTATGCATAAGCTGGATACTGCACCCCCTTCAGTGAAAAGTCCAGAGTAAAATACTGACCATACATCTCTTCTCTGCGGGAATACTCTGTATCCCATGCAAAATTAGTCCTCTATTTGACGAAATGTAAGTAAGTGGATAAATATTACACTGGGTTATCTTACTCTTTTGTAGTAATTCTACAATTAAGTAATTCTAAATACTACAAAGTATTTGTAATTCAATTATGCTCCAATAGAGTCATCCAAGAATTTGCAGTTAAGTCAGCATGATGTAATGCAAACAAATATTGGGAGGAAATCAGGAAACTCAGAGAGGAGTTGGAAGGAGGGAGTACTTTTGCACTTTTCTAGTTATATGCCATTGCACATGTAATATATACGTATCTCTGCTTCCTCTCTATAAAAAATAAGAAATGGGCTTTTGTGAAGTTCAAATGAGATAATACATGTGAAAGTAAACATTTAAAAATACTAACCAGAGTGTGAGTATTATTTTAATTTTTTTAAACAAGCAGATTGTCTTGGGTTTTTCTCCCTCCTCTTATTTCTGAACCAATATTCCTATAGCTTTCTGAAAACTAAATTTTCTACTGAACCTCTAGTAGTCTTAGAAAGAAGGCACTAGTCTTCTGAAAAACTGTCCCTGACAAACAATCTTTCCTTTAACTGGAGAAACAGAGAAAATGGCATATATCCATGACCTCTGCAATGCTCTGGTTTTCTTAAACTTTTTAAGTTACTCACATTTTCCAAATATAAAAGTCAGAAATTGGTAACAGCTATAAAAATGAAAATATATTAGAACTCTCATAATATTCATATTTGAATGCCAGCATCCACAATAATGCAGCCACAGCAAATAAGCATATAAAAAACAGTGATTGGCATAGTACAAGGCAAAAGAAGTGGTCCCGAGGGTGGAAGTAATAGCAACCTTGCAAAGTTAGGTTCATGCAGACCAGCAAGTAAGAACCAAAGCTTTACCACTTAAGGGCTGGAAAAATAAATACTTAAAAGAAAACAAAATGCAACATCTATTATACTAACTGGTTTATACAAAAAATAAAGAATACTAATTCATGTATAAAATAGATAAAACTTACTATTATATTTATATATAATTCTATATCAAAATGAAAAGGCTATCATGAAAACAGTATATATATGTAATATATATACATATATACACACACACACATAGTAATTAAAAGAACAGTTACATACATACATTTCTATGGATCAAAGATACATGTAAAATTTTAAGAAAATAGATAATACATTACGAAGTAAAATATGTTAACTTAAACAAAAGTCTTAAAATATTTTTATAAAATAAACTTTATTAAGTTTTAAACTTGATAATATTCCAGACTTACCATTTTCCAAAACTTTTTTTGTGACTAGTGTGATTTTACCCTAAAATAAATGTTTGTGGCGTTTTAATTGCAAATAAGCTTCACTATAGCTACAAATATAAAAATAAACAAGTATATACAATTGAAAATACAAAGGACTGTCTCTTACTTTCTCTTTTGCCTATACACTGTTCAAATATCGAGATAGACCACTATGAAACTGCATACATATTTTCCACTTAAAAGTAAATTAGTGATTAGAATCTCATTATACTTCTCTTTATATTTTCCTTAATTATCAATTCCTGGGGAAAAAGAAAAATTCACCTACAGAAAAAATTTCTAGGGAATTGGCAGGTGATTACACAATGCTAATTCTACTAGAGAACTCAAGTAATTATCACAAAATTTAAGATATGGTCATATATTTCTCTATTAACATTTTTATTATAGATTCTCAACCTTTTCTTTTTTCTTCTAGAATTTTGTCAAGAGTCTTTTTCATTTCCATACAGCTCTGAGGTGCTACAATAGTTCAAATAAAGAGCATATATGAGGGCATAAGGAAATAACCCTGAGTAAAAAGTTGGTACTAATAATGATGGAATAAAGATAATATAGATATAGCTGGTTTTAACAAAGAACAGGGAAGATGTCTGAAGATATAATCATATAAAGTTTTGAGAAATTCAGAACTCATTTCAAACTAAGCATAAAAGCACAAGTACAAATAATGTTTTGGATTATCTGTGCATAGGCTGTAAATGTGCAGCTTATAATATGCCTGATTTTTATTATTTAATCTCCTTAGTGCTATAAAATTTTCTTTCCTATTGTATTAACATTGTGGATTGCTTCTTCTTTCAGGCAAAAAAAACTCAGAAACACGGTATTTTCAAGGGTCAAATGAACTTAATTTACAGATTTAAAGGCACAAAAGTTATCATTCACCATTTCAAGATAGCTTAGAGTTCAAAGTATAACTTTATTTTTAAAGTTCTGTGATTCCCTACTTTCTATACCATTTATGAGTACACCATATGAGGATCATAATGGCACTCTTAATTACATAGTTTGCAAGACTTGGAATTCTAAATTTAAAATTTAACTTGGTTCAAAAACATGTTGTTGCACATATCCAGCTAAATAAATGAGGTACACAAATCTCTAGGCAACAATTTTCCACAGTGCCTTAAATTTTACAGTTCATCTTAGAAAAAAACCAGAAATAATATTTCTGCATACTTTTGTATCTTAGTACTAAACCATAGATATGACAGACCTCTCCAGGTGGACTTGGGTTCCTGAGCAGAATCAACATGGGTTTGAATCCTAACTTGCCACCTATGTATGTATGTATGTATGTATGATTGTAGGTTGTTATTCAAAGCTTCAATTTCATAATTTGAAAAATGTGTTAATAATTGTACCTACTTCATAGAATTGTTCTGAAGATTAAACAGGATCATGCATGTATGGTACAGCACAATATGAGTCTCTCTAATATAAATAATATCACATACAACTGAAAGCAAGGAAAACTTATCATTGTTATCACAAAAGTCATTTGGGTTCAAATGTATTTTTTCCTGGTCTTTTTGAGCCACCAAGTTAACAGCAGCTTAACATAAAATACACAAAGTCAGCTAAACACAACAGAGCCAAGGAAGAATGCAAGGGAATTAAGAAACAATCGAATGTTTCCAGTTGTATTACCCAATAAACAAGTTATAAATGATCAGTAACCTTGTGTTTGTGGCGCTTCTTCATAGCTTTAAGGAAATGAAGAAACACGTCACAGCCACCATCTCAACTGGCGCTGTAATATGCTACAAAGAAACTGAGTCGATCAGACCACAGGACTGATGCGAGCCATGGGTTACAAGGGGTGCATATTGAGCACTTCTAAATTTATAGAAATAACTGTGACAGTTTGTTTAAAATTGGTTTGATTACATGTTTGTATCTACTCTAGTTAATAGATAATACTCTTTGGGAAGTGTTCAATTCCTTTGCAGTCACCTTGTACACTAAAGTACACAGTATCCACCTATTCCCACATCACTACTTGGCTCAGTTGGCTACTTTGTTTTAGAAGTTCTGTATGATTCTTTCTGATCTTTGTTTATGTTACCTTTGTCTCTCCTTCATTCAACAGACTCAAAATTTTCTTTTCATCAAGTTAATTTCAACTTTTTTTCCCCCTAGATTTGCCAGTTGTATTTATTTTATTCATTGAAAATTTAACATGCTTTTAATTATGCTAGTATTTTTTGCAGGATCATTATGGTTTTGTTATGTTTTTTTAAGTGTTCTACTAAGAAAGTTGCTTGAGTTTTAAGTTGTCTGTTTCAGGACTATTTCCCACAAAAATCTTGTCATTTTTAATGTATAGTACTGCAGAATGCGAGGTTTTTAATGAATATATATCTGTATAATTAACAGGTAGACTTTGCTCATTTAAAAATTCTGGAGAGGGGATCCTGGGTGGCTCAGTCAGTTAAGCATCTGACTTTGGCTCAGGTCATGATCTCATAGTTAGTGAGTTCGAGCCCCGTGTCTGGCTCTGTGCTGACAGCTCGGAGCCTGGAGCCTGCTTTGGATTCTGTGTCTCCCTCTCTCTCTGCCCCTAACCCACTCGCATTCTGTCTCCGTCTCTCTCAAAAATAAACATTACAAAATTTTTTTCAATCTGGAGAGACTAGAGTTTCAATCTGGAGAGACTAGAGTTTCATACAGAAACAAGTACTGATACAATTGGGTATCTTATAGGAGCAAATTTTAAATTTTAATACAGCTATAATTATCTTATAGCAAGCGACAATCACTACATTTTAGTATAGATAGCTTAAAACAGCTATTCAGCACAAAATTACTATCTATAATTTTCATTTTCCTTTAAATAACTGACACATAAAAGATACTTACTGGCTGAAGCCTGAGGTTGCATGCGAGGTATTCCTCCATTTGGCACTTGAAAATTTGAGTCACTTCTGCTGCTTTTCACTGAGTCAACTTGTGTATTAGATGTTCGGGACAGGTTTGGAAGACTGCGTCTTAGTTTTTCTATGACAACAGAATTTAAAGAAAAAAAAATCAAAACATTCTTTTAGATAAAGAATTAAAATATTAACTGGCATTCACAAATCAAATTCTTTAAGCATTCTACATTTTAGAGGAGTTAACAGAAAGTACATGTCTTATAAAAAATAACCCAGGTCCTAGAAATCAGTAGAAGAGAACCTTTAAAAAGAGCCATAAATTAATTAAATCAAAATCTATATACGGACCACTTCATGAAGACTAGTAACATAATCAAGTAAAATTAAATTCACTCTCTCCTTTAGTTTTGTATTGATGCACTAGTAATAAAACAGTAAACTACCTAAATTCTTGATCTACTTTTCTAAAATACAAAACCTTGGTAAAAAATTGTGTTACTTCCATATCGAAATAAGGACAACGGCTTTGCCAGAATCATCCTAATTACCTTCATTTTTAACATTGCTTGTCTGTAAATCCGCGGGATGACCTTGAAGTGAAAGGCGAGGTTGTTGTAAGCGGCTAATCATAGGCTGTGGGGACACTCTACTATATTCTATTCCCCGAGCAGGAGATCGTGAACGAGGTGAATTTCTGGGTGACTGCTTAGGTGATGGTCGAGGTGAATTGCGTGGTGATGGTGAAAACCTGTTAACAGCAGGGTATACTGCATGATGCATATTGTCATCTTCATCATCTAAACTTTGCGCATCAAGTTCCTGATCGCTAAAAGTACCCCGTCTTGTAGAATTGCAAGATGAACCAGAACTGCGCCGAGATGTGGTGGCTGCATATTCTTGCCGGAGACCTGACAATAATGAATGTGTTATTTCATTTCTTTAGTTACATTTTTAAACATTTATATATTCTTGAGGCTTAAAAGCAAAAGAATATCATTGAGAAATTCCAATAGGTAAAGGAAAACTCCCTTTCCACTTGAATCATCTTAGACATCCTCCCATATAATGATGCCTAAAATATTTTAAAAGATTATTTTTGAATTGAATGAAATTCTATAAACCTTTGCCCAATCCAACGTTTTCTTCATGATTCTGAAATCTGTATTAGAGGTAGAACCATAAATTTAAAAATATTTCTACTCCTAAAGACAAAAATCCAAATTTGAGATCAACATTTCAAAAATACTGAGGGAAAACAATTATTGTTCAACCAATGAGAAGAATACACCAGTGTATAAATAAACTCCCTGGATACTGAATTCTTGGAATTGATTTATTGATGAAGGAAATTTCTTTCCCACCCTCAGGAATTCAATACTTGGGCATAAATGAAATTTTAGTTCCTTCATGACCCAAGAGACTTCATCAGTAAAACAAACTTAAATTCTAAGCTATCAAGTAAAAATTTTCAAAGGAGTCCCCTATGTATCTTGACACCTCCAGAAACATCCAAGCAAACTTAGGCCCTTCAAAAAGTATAAAAACTTCTAGAACAAAAACAAATGTTGGTATATATTCAATTAAGAATAAAATTACTATTCAAGAAAAGTACAGAATTTAGGCCAATATTTTGATCAAGTCCTGCTAACTAGTGACAATCTAGTTTAAAAATTCTCTGCTACTGGGGCACCTGTGTGGCTCAGTTGGTTAAGCATCCGACTTCGGCTCAGGTCATGATCTCACAGTTCGTGGGTTTGAGCCCTGCGTCAGGCTCTGTGCTGACAGCTCAGAGCCTGAAGCCTGCTTCAGATTCTGTGTCTCCCTCTCTCTCTCTGCCTCTTCCCCACTTGTGCTCTCTCTCTCTCTCTCTCTCTCAAAAATAAACATTAAAAAGTTAAAAAAATATGCTCATACACAGACAGTGCTATCGATATGGTCCCCAAAGTAATGGGTGAGAATCATAGCAGGGTATCTATAAAACTACAGATTCCTGGGGCCTATCTAACCCTTCACTCAAGTTTCGGAACCACTCTGGTAACAAACAAGATAGTGTCTTGTTACAGCACAGTACTAAAGTCACCTAACAAAAGACAACAGATCAGTGAATAGCACTGTTTTAGCAAGGAAAAACACAGATCCCAAAGTAGGCCCTGCAGTACTAGGGGGATCCTAAGGAAGCAACAATCACTATGGGACTGTGTATTTCTCCTATTAGAAATAAGAGGGCTTAACCAGGAAACAGCCAAAATCTGTAATTCTACATCTGTTAAAAACAAACAAAACTAAAGAAACAATGTTTTAAAACAAAAATCATTTTCTTAAAAAAAACCTGGCATTTTCGAGGAGGCAGACATTTTTAGCATCTTTTTTTTTTTTTTATTCACTAGAAAAAGACCCTATCTGTGCATGTGGATGGCTTAAAAAGAATTATTAAAGCAAGGCTAGAATTTCTTTTACTTGTTACCAAAATACAATATAAAAATGACAGCAAAAAGCTGGTTGAGTTTCTAACAAAATACTGGGGTCTGAAAAGTCACAGTTCAAAGAACTGAGAGAATTTACTCTAAGTTATAGTGAGGAAGCACTCTATTCTCCTTTCACATCCCTGACTAGCTGACAATAGCTCCTCACTAGCTGACAATAACCACAGTCTCAATGAGGAGTTACACAAAATTACAGAAGAAAAGGGTACCATATTGTTAGTTCCGTGAGCTAAAGATAAGTAAAGCAAGAACCAAGTCTTTCTACTTTTCTATGAGAAGCTGTTGGAAAATGGGAAATGATTCAGCAGAATAACATTCTGCAGTTTCTTAATAAATGTTATAGCTTAATAAAACCTACCATATATCTACATAAAAGGGCCTAAAACAGAAAGTTTTTAAACTAAATTATTTTTTTTTATTTTTTTAAAAAAAAAATTTTTTTTTTCAACGTTTATTTATTTTTGGGACAGAGAGAGACAGAGCATGAACGGGGGAGGGGCAGAGAGAGAGGGAGACACAGAATCGGAAACAGGCTCCAGGCTCCAAGCCATCAGCCCAGAGCCTGACGCGGGGCTCGAACTCACGGACCGTGAGATCGTGACCTGGCTGAAGTCGGACGCTTAACCGACTGCGCCACCCAGGCGCCCCTTAAACTAAATTATTTTGATGCTCCATTACCCTCAGCTGATTGTCAAGACTGAAACGTGTGCTTCAAGAATCTTTTCATTGTAAAGATTCAACGGGTCACTTTAGAGAGATTGCTTACTTCACAGTTAAGCTTGTGGTATCTTACGATAAAATGTATAGGCAAACCATAGTACTCTACTGAATATCTAATAAAACATTTCCATCCTCTCTAAAAGCCTTTTAAAAATATGTACCATTATTAGTATAGTTAGGTGAGGATACTTCCATGTTCAAATTTTCCTGTTTCTTCTGGTTGAGAATCCTTTTATGATCTCCTGAGGATGATACTGTTTTTAGCCTGATTATTTTCACTTACTGTTTTCATTCCTCTTTATGTACTTGTTTTATGTGCTAAAATGTTTTTTTCAAATATTCTACACACAAATGTGAAAAGTACAAATTAAAATATTTTTTAAAAAAAGTATAGGCAAGAATAATACTATCACCACCATTTTACAAAGAGAGCCAGAACATCCACAAACCTTTGAAACAGAATGACAAATTTTGTGCATATGTATACTTTGGGGATGACAGGGGATATAATTTTTATTGGATTCTCAATGGTATCTGTGACCTAAAAAGTTGCAAAGACCATTCTGTAAAGCAATATCGCACGCTCACCTCATTTAATGTCATAATTTCAATTTTCCCATAAAGGTTTTTTTTTTTTTTTTCTGTAGTCTATACCACATATTCTAAGAGTGGTGCCCCCATAGGGAGAAAATTGGCTCTTGGGGTATGAAAAAAACCCAGATACCATACTAATTTTGTGATCCTCATAGTACATAAAGAGATGCAGGGTATATCTGTGGTATTAAAATTTCATGGTGAGGTGATAGGCAAAAAAAGGGGAAAAAGTCTAAAAAGGTGGTTGGGAAGGGGTAATAATGGAAAAAAGGTTGAGAAACAACAGTCCACTAAGAAAACACAGTGTAATAGAGTAATAACTACTCTACCAAGTTCCAGCGCAGAGTAACATGCAGGGCATGGTTACTAGTCATTACCTGCCTTTCTTTGCTCCTCACACAGCAAACTGTTTTACATAAAATGCACTCTGAAAACAAGTTAATGAACAAGCAAGTCTATATGTTGAATAAGCCTCTAAAATTTAACATTTCTACTCATACATTACTATCCCACAACACCTTAAGATCTATTAAATATCCACAACAAAATTATACCTGAACTAGACTCAACTTGAACAATTAAAATACTTACTTTCTTCTTGCATCCGAGCTAGAATCTGTACATCAGTTACATCATTTAGCTTATAATTGGATCCAATTGAATCTTCATCTAATTCTGAAGCACTTAACTCACTGTCTATAGAGGATTGAGGACTGAGTGGAGGATTTCTGTCTGATGAACTTTTCAAATTACCTTAAAAAAAAAAAAGATTTGAACTTTGGTATAACAAAAACTGAATAAGCATCTGTTGTAATAACTTGATATTAATTCTTTGATTCAGTTCACCATTATTCTGTCTTTTCTGTTCATGAAATTCCCAAATATTGAAAATAAAAATTGACTTTATTAAGAAGAGGGCTATGTCATATGTTATGGCATAAAAGCAAATCACATTTTCATTTCAATCATAACTTATCTATTCTCTTATGAAACAATTAAGCTTTCACCACGGTGCCTGGTAAGTAGGTGGTGTTCAATAAATGTTAGAGGATTCCAACTTTTACAAGGCAGCCAATGAAACACCTCATAAACAAATGAATTTATAATGTGTTTTCTCCTCCCAAATTCACAGTCTTAGCCAATACCATCATCTTTTTCCCTGAATAAAAGCTTCTACTTTTCCTAAGCAAGAAAACTATAATTTGAGGAAAATCAAAATTCCTTAGAGATTTAGGAACAAACCAAAAAAAGAACACTAGGGTCATTTTTCCTATGTTATGCCATGTTTACAAAATTCTTTGTCAAACTAGTAATAGGGATCCAAGGAGTTCTCTGAAGTGTAGGAGTGAAGCACAAACATGGAACAGAGAAAATAATGAGATAAAGTATTTCATTGCTGAAAGCAAAAAGGGGGATAGAAGGCAGGTCAGAAGAGTCTAACTTGTTTCTAAGGAAATCCTTTCATCAGATCATCAACTTCTAGTGAAGAATAAAATCCTAACACTGTCACTAATGCATCTAACACAGACTTATTTGAAACATTTGTTTCCCAGAATTCTTTACCATAGAAGTCAGCCCCCACGTGAAAGGCATATTAAGAGCAAAATAGTTGATGTTTATATTATCAAGAAGAACATAGTGCATATGATAGGAAAAGTACTACAAGGTCAAGTTCAAATAGTGCCCAAATAAAATTCTTGTTAAACAAACATAGCAGATTAAATTTTTTAGTATGACAGTCATGGGTGACATAAATAGCAAGTAACAACTTATGCACAAAGCTAACAGCAGGGGCGAGAAGTCATTAGACTAGGGAGTCAAAAATTTGAGGTGGTTAACAATAACCTTAATTTTTAAGGAAGCTACAATAATTAGCTGTAACAACAGCAACAATAAGAGTTAACAGTGAATCCTAAAGAACAGTAAGCTATGGAGTATTTCAGTCACAGAACCACAGCAAAACATTCTTTCCCCAATTTACAGCAGTCTACCCTCCCATATCAGTTTGGACTCCACTCTTTTGGCACATACACATATAGCTTATACTATTATTTGAGTGTAACATCAAAGCTTATTAAATAAAGCTTAAGTGGTTTAATAAGAGCTTTTATTTTTAGCTTTTATAGCCCAATCTATTCAGTAAAAGAAAGCATCTATTAGTTAAAAGAATCAAGCTTGTTACTCTAATCAAGCCACATCTAAAAACTTTTAAGTACATGCTAAAGAAAACTTTACAAATGTACCCTGGTTTATCAGTACCAGGTGCTAAATAGCTCCTCACTGATATTTTCTTTAACCACTTAAAAGTCTCATAGGCACAAGAACTTGAACTATTGATGATTGAGTTATTTTCTGAGGTAGGGCAGTAAGTTAAAAACTATACCTTGATTATTCCATTTCAAATTCTCCTTACCTGAATTTCCAGGAAGTATTAGCTGTTTGACTATAGGAGGTCGCACTGGGGTTGAAGATGGAGAATTGAAACCACTGCTGTATGGGCTACTTGCACTTGGACTATAAGGACTTGTGTAACTCATGGAGTTGAAAGGATTGTTATATAAATTCTGCCTCTTGAGAGCTGTGTTAATGAGAAGGGGAGAAATCAACATAATAACAGAAAAGGTTAACACTTCATTCAACATTTTTTCCTACTGGGAAACCTATTAAGTCATAATCTCAATTTAAATACAGAAACATTCTTAGAGTAGCAAGAGAAAATACACATTAATAATCCCAACAAAATAGTTCCATTATCTTAAATTGCACTGTGCAAGTAAAACAGTAGCCACACCAAACATCAAAAATAATACCATAGGAAGAATATCTTCTCAACAAATTACTAGCTATTAAATTAATTTACTTCTATCTTGTCGGGAAGTTTGTTCCAACTGTATTAACTCTGAATGGTCTTAAAAAATAAAATGAATGCAAAGTATATTTGTGTCTTCTCGTTTTTAAAAAAAATGTTTATTTTTGAGAGGGAGAGAGAGAGCGCAGGAGAGAGCGCAGGGGAGGGACAGAGAGTGAGGGGAGACAGAGGATCCAAAGCAGGCTCTGCACAGACAGCAGAGAGCCCGATGTGGGGCTTGAACTCAGGAACCTGAGATCATCTCCTGAGCCAAAGTCGGGTGCTTAATTGACTGAACCACCCAGGAGCCCCTGTTTTTTCATTTTTCTATAACAAACATTTACTGCAAAGAAAAGGGGAGAAAAAGGTATCATAGTGAGTTTTAAAAACAGCCTTTCCAAAGTTTAGATTTTTGTAAAAGCAAAGCAATATTGACTACTTAGGCCAGGTTAAGGTCAAACATGTGCGAATTCTCTTTTTAAAAAGAAAAAGCCTCCCTCCCTTTCCCCCAGTCTTCTGGCCCAAGAAAAGGAAGAAAAAATGCGCTATGCATGTAAGATTATAGAAACAGTACAAAAGTAGAACTAAGATATCAAGTACATACGTAGAGAAAAATTACTACTTAAAATAGTATTTCTTTCTTCTACACTCTTCTAAAATCCATAGCTTAACTCAGTATTTCTGACCATTGGCAAAGCAAGGTGTAGAACATACAGACAAATGTGACATCGTACTATTTCTCAAGGGGCTTACAACCAAGTAGTGCAGGCAGGAAAAAACAATGATTTCAGGGCAAAATGAAATGAGCACTATCATAAAGGTGCAAAGGGCTGTGGAATGATGAGACAGGATAATTCATTACAAATGAGAAAAACTAGGCACAGCTTTTTGGAAAGGGGCATTGGAGCAGTCCTGAGAGGATGAGCGGCAATCTGACAGGCCACTGAGAATGGGGAAAGCATGTGCTTCCATCTGTGTTTATCACAGGAACAAAAGCAGGGTCTTGAAAATGTACATTAGGTTCAGGGAATAAGAGTGAGTGCTGTAGAAAGGTAAAGCAGATGCGTGAGGGACAAAACAGGAAGACGTAGCCGGGCCAGGTCGTGGAAGTCCTGGAAACTATGCTCAGGAGAATGAACGTTATTCACTATCAGTGAATTCTGAGTAAGGGTGATATATCATCCAATCAGTTTCAGAAGAAAATTGATGGACATTTTTATGTTGAATAGATGAGACTGAACTAGGCAGTAGAGGTGACAAATACAAAAAAGAAGGATAGATATTAAAAACTAGAAGGATTACAAAAGAAAAAAAAATAAGGGGACTCTGAAGTTTCTGGTTTGCCTACTACTGGGCAGAGAAATGGTTTGGGGTGGAAGAACATACGTTTTTTGTTGTTTTTCTGTTTAGTTTGATGACAACTAGCAGTAGGTTTGACAGTGTAGTTTTGTCCGTATTCCCCAAGAGATAAGATGCCACACTTTAAACATATTTAGAATGCAGTATCTCAGAAATACCAACCTGAGCAGAAACTGGGGTGCTAATTTCTTCCTCTTTACTTTCTGATCTCCTCTGAAGCTTATTCTCTTCCCGGTGGTTATTTATTTAATCACTAGCATTTCAAGTCGTCACCCCTTTATGTCCTCACTCTACACTATATTCCTTTTCCTAAGAAATCTCATTCATATCTATCACATCAGTTATTATCTATAGTCCAAAAACTCCCCATTATTTATATTCCCAGTCCCAAGTTTTCCTGGGCTTCAGTCCCATATGTGCTGCCTATTTAATGTCTCCTCTATGGAGCCACTGGCTCCTCAGAGCCAACATTTCCACATTCAAAGTCATGATTTTCCCGCTAAAATTTAACTCTCTTCCTGGGGTTCTGACCTCAAAACGATTAATAACATTCATCCTGTCACACAAGCTGGAAACCTAGATCATTGATACTTCTCCCTTACTTCCTCAAATTTCGCTCATTGTTTTCCATCCACATCTCTTCATCTCCACTACCATCAACACACAGTGCCCAGCTATCATTATCAACCCCCGCCCCCCGCAAAAGCACCCTACATTCATTCACTTCTAGCCTTCTCCAATCTACTCTCCATACTCCAGCTAAGCATGACCTTACCAAAATGCAAACCTAATCACGTCTTCCTGCTCATACATACCACACCCTTGAACAACACCCTCCAATCTTTCTATTGCTTTTATTTTTATTTTTTTTTTACAGAGTGAGCGCGCGAGCGAGCATGAGCAGGGGAGAGGGGCAGGAGACAGAGACAGAGAGAATTTTAAGCAAGCTCCACGCTCAGCATGGAGCCCGCTGTGGGACTTGATCCCACAACCCGAGAATCATGATTTGTGCTGAAATCAAGAGTCAGACGCTCAACCAACTGAGCCACCCGGATGCCGCTTTCCATTGCTTTTAGAATAAGGCCCAAAACCTTTTCTTAAAAAAAAATATTTACTTATTTTGAGAAAGAGAGAGAACAGGGAAGGGGCAGAGGGAGAGAGAGAAATACCAAGCAGTCTCCATCCTGTCAGCACCGAGCCCGACACAAGCCCAACACGGGGCCCAACACCACAAACCCTTAGATCATGGCCTGAGCTGAAACCAGGAGTCAGAGGCTTAACTGACTGAGTCATCCAGGTGCCCCAAGTCCAAAACCTTTAGCATAATCTATAAGGGCTTGCAAAGTCTGGCTCCTACATATCTTTCTCACATCTCTCCCTTCCCTACCCTTCTCCAGCCACCAACTTGGCTTTTTCCAGGTCTCGTGCATGCCATACTCTCCCCGCGTGCTTGCACAGGCCTCCCACAGAGCCTCTGTACACACTGTGTTCTCTACCTGGAATACCCTTATTCCCTCTTTCGCCTTCCCCCTTAAACCACTCAAATTTTTCTAAATCTTTAGGACTCAGGTCAAACATTGTTTCCTGAAGTAAAATCCCCATTTCTCAAAGCAAAGCACTTTGTACCATTCTTTTATTATGTATCATCAGTTATAAAAACTATTTGTATTAGTACATTTCCCCTAGTAGATGATAAACTCCATGAGCTCAGGTATGCTGTTAGTTTTTATCATGTATCCTCTACCCTCTCCCCAAAGTCTGAAATATATCAGGCTCTCAGTAAATATTAACTGAATATATGTATGAATGAATGAGATTAAGTTGAAGAGAGGCCGCTGGATACCATATGAATGGATGAAATAATGAAAACAGACAGAAGCCAGGCAAAAGAGACCTCTGTCACCCTAAACTTAAAAGGTGGACAGATGGGGGATTGGGGAAATGGGACATTTAATGGATACAGAATTGTACAGTATGGGATGATGAAAAAGTTCTGGAGATGGTCAGTGGTGATGGCTGCACAGCAATGTGACTGTACTCAATGCCACTGAACTGTAGATTTAAAAAATGGTTTAAAAAATAAAAAATAAAAATAAAAAATGGTTGGGGCGCCTGGGTGGCTCAGTTAATTAAGCGTCTGATTATTGATTTCGGCTCAGCTCATGATCCCCAGTTCATGGGATTAAGAGGATTCTCTCTCCCTCTCTCTCTCTGCCCCTCCCCGACCCGGGCAGCACGCATTCTCTGTCTCAAATACACTTAAAAAAACAATTTTTAAAAATGGTTAAAGTGGTAAATTTTAAGCTATGTAAAGTTTCCAATTAAAAAAAAAGATGGACAAAGAAGGAAGAACCTTCAAAGACGGCTTCAAAGAAAACAGTAGGGAGGGTGAGACAGGGTAAAAAATACAATGCACTATCATGAGGCGCCTGGGTGGCTCAGTCAGTTAAGCATCTGACTTCAGCTCAGGTCATGATCTTGCGGCTCTTGAGTTCGAGCCCCGTGTTGGGCTCTGTGCTGACAGCTCAAAGCCTGGAGCCTGCTTTGGATTCTGTGTCTCCCCCACTCTCTGCGCCCGGCCCCCCCAACTCGTGCTGTGTCTCGCTCCGTCTCTCAAAAATAAATAAATATTAAAAAAAAAAAACATTTTAAAAAATACAATGCACTATCATAAACAATAAGAGAAGAACATCTTCGGGACAAGTAGTAGAGCACTGCAAGGAAGCTGAGCTGGACTGAACAGAAACCATTCTCTTAGAATACAATAGCTGTATTCCCAGGAAGCTCTGCCTTATCACAGAAATACATCTAATATCTCCTCACCAACTTGGAAAAGGGGGGATTTAGGACTAAGGTTGAAATTTGGAATAGCCAAATAGTTGTTTCTTCTTTTTATTTTTTTAAGTTTATCTATCCACTGAGGGGAGGGAAGGAGAGGCACAGAGAGGCAGAAAGAGAGGGAGAGGACCCCAAGCAGGCTCCACACTGTCAGCACAGAGCCCGAAGTGGGGCTCGAACTCACGAACCCACGAGATCATGACCTGAGAGGGAATCAAGCATCAGAGGCTTAACCGACTGAGCCATCCAGGTGCCCCTTTTCCTTTGACTATATATTACATTTATAGCTGTACCTACTGCTCTGTGCAGATAGCTATAATATCTAAACACTGTCAAACAAATCCAGTACCTGATTACACCTAGTTTTGGTTCAAGAGTAACAGTTTCTCTTACACACTCCCACTACCTTTAATACCTTGTTATAATAAAGCAAAAAGCTACTTCACTCAAATTGCTATTTTTGAGGTGTTATTTTGGTTTTCCCCAAGTCCAACTGACTAATTGCCAATTGCTAATAGTTCCTATTTTTTAGGATGTTTTAAACCAAGGTTTGGTAAACTGCAGCCTGTGAGCCAATTCCAGCCCACCACTTCTTTTTGTAAATAAAGCTTCCCTGGAACACAGCCATGCCCATTCATTTACGTATTATCTATGGCTGCTTGTGTCCAAGAAGGGCAAAGGGGAGTAACTGCAACAGAGACCTCATGGCCCACAAAGCCTAAGATGTTTACTATCTGGCTATTTACAGAAAAAGTTTGCCAATGCGTTTATATGTTTATTTATCGACTGTCTGCCACCCCCGTTAGAATATAAGCTCTGGGAAGTAAGGGACTTTTTCGTCTATTTTATTCATTGCAATATCCTCAGAGTTGAGAACACCTAGCACAAAGTAGGTTATGAACATATACTGCTGAATAATGACAACTCCTAACTGTAAAATATACTTACCTTATTTCTAAGGTGAGATACAGTAATGGAAAGTTGTTCCTAAAGATATTTTTAATAAACATCTAAATAATATCACCTAACTGGAATGAGTTAGAAATTTTCCAGTTATTTTGAATTGTCTACTACTTTGTCTAGATACTTTTAATAATTTGGAGGCGCCTGAGTGGCTCAGTCAGTTAACTATCTAACTTTGGTTCAGGTCATGATCTCGTGGTTCATGGGTTTAAGCCCCACGTCGGGCTCAGTGCTGACAGCTCAGAGCCTGGAGCCTGCTTCAGATTCTGTGTCTCCCTCTCTGCCTGTCCCTCCCCTACCTGCACTCTCTCTCTCTCTCTCTCTCTCAAAAATAAACAAACATTAAAAAAAACTCTTATGAATAGAATTTAAATCAAGCTCCAGGATACAATTCTAAAAACAATATTCAGAAAAAAAAATTTTTTTAATTGCATAAAGGCTACTGCTTTTCCAAAAAGGATCCTCTATACACAAGGAAAAAGTAACACAGAAGTTACATATACACAAGGAAAAAGCTCACAGAAGTTAAATAATGCACAGAGTCACAGAGTAACTAAGTGCTAGAATGAGAATGGGGTCTCTTTGGTTCCCAGCCTGTATGTTTCCACCACATCAGAATTTCCCAAGGGTGGTGAGAGAACTTTAGATGATACCAAACATATTTTTGATAGTTATTTGTTTTAACTTATATTAGGAAAAAAAAAATCCCTATCATATAAACCCCATTATTTCATGGATATTATTCTTTAGGATGAAGTGAAATAAAAATGAGAAGATTGGGGCAAAAAGCTATTAAGTAAATTTAACAGGGTATTATGTAATTTAACAAGCTATTAAGTAAACAAGGTTATGTGCATATGGTAAAAACCCATGATGGCATGCACAAGATTAAGAAACCACCAAGCAAAAAACTGCCTTCCTAAAAACATACCAACTCAACATCTATCTGTTTTTTGATTAAAGAAAGCAAGGAGATGAACTTACAAGTAAAATTTTAGACATACCTGACATAGTTTGATCAAGTTTGTGGATAAGAGACTTTTTAGCACATTCGACATCAGGACTTGGGTAATCCAAAACTTGCCTGCACCAAACTAGTGGACTAACTGATTTCTGCATTGGTGTAAGTTTTTTCTTTGGTGATGAATACAGCCTAGAAGAAAACAAAAACAAAAACAAAAACAAAAAATAAAAGGTTAACATTCATTATTAAGCACAAGTTATAAGACAGGGATCCTTTTGGACAGATTTAAATTAAGAGGGGGGTGTTGCAGGTGTCACAGAATGTCTTTAAAATCACCTACATTTTACTTTGTGTATAAAAAGAAAATGACACTACAACCATCAATATTAACCCATATTTCAAATGTTAAATAAACCCAAATGAAGCCAACTGTCTAATTCTAAAATAGGTCTTCTTTTTCTTTTAGTCTCATTACAAAAACTATGAGGAAACATCTGTCTTTACAATAGTTCGGTCTGTTTTCAGTAGTACTTGATCAACTCCCTAATATAACCATATCATTAAGTACTGTCTTGGAGACAGTATGAGATAAATACCTTGTTTTCCACCTGCCAGTTCACTTCCTACCACAAACCACACAAAAATCTCCCATTAGCAATCCATTCCCTTTAGTTAAGCAGTACCCACTCTTGTAGCCTTCTTTTCAAACCATGACACATCAGAAAAAAGCAATACATTAAATCCTGAATAACTTAATATGAATGCATTTATGAAATTTACTTCAGTCTCAGGAAAAAGAATAGGACAGTACACTTTATAAGCTCCTGGGGAAGGTATACAAAAAGACAATGTGGGCAGAAGACAGGAGAGTGATACCCTTGAATTTCCTACTTCATAGTTTTTTCCTCAGATTGGTCCAGATTATGTCAATTAATATTAATTTATTTCAAATGTGATACCATATGAAAAATGTGAAGTTACTTAAATTCTAATCAGAATGGTTTCCAAATTAAGACACTTTGAGTAGAATTTATGAAGTAAACAACAGTATGCTTTATCTACATAGTTAAATGTCTCCGCAAGACCAGGAGTTAGTAATTTCACATTTTATATTAATCAAGTTAGGGCAATCAAATAAAATGTGTTCTGGTATAAACATTTAAATATATCTCTATAGTACCAGAATTGACAAACTACTTTCTAGTGACCCAAGGTACATTTTCCATCCCTTTTCTCATCTCCCCTATCTATAAATTAAGTCACTCACATCAACTAGTTAGCTCTGATCAAGATAATCAAAACTAATAGGGTAAATAATCATTTCTCTAGTCAACAATCCATGTTCATTTGGAAAAAAATGAAATAAAATCTCAATTTATGAAATACCTTAATAACAGTTCAAAAAGAAAACGAAACCAATGGGGTTCATTCTCTTTCCATCTTAAATACTACAAATGTTTCATAATAAATCTCTACCTCAGCATTCCATTTTAATTGTGATAACTATCATATATAGGTATTTTAGGTTAGAAATATTTAGCAAACAAAACTATAGATGAATAAACATTAACAAAATCACTTTATGATCATTATTCTTTCAACATATAACTTTTCCCTACACTACTGGTTTCACACAATTTAATCACATGACTCATGTGTGCTTAGTATGTTCCTCTACTGTTAGCTGTAAAACTAACTGTAAAAAGTTCAAGGATCAGGAATGAGCCTCAAAAACATGCTCAAAGTAACCAGACACAAAAAACACACATACTGTATGATTCCATTTATACAAAATGTCTAGAAAAGGACACACCAGAAAGTAGATTAGTCATTGTCTAGGACTAGAAGAGGTAGGAATGGGGAAGAGATTTCTTTTAGAGGGAAATAAGTGTTCTAAAATTACATGGTGGTGATGGCTGTGGTAACAATGTCATGTAACTAAATTCTTGAATCTTATGATGCATTTTATTGCATGTATATATTATAAAGATATGGGTAAATTCTATATTATATAAATTATATCCTGATAAAGTTGTTATTAAAAAATTATAAGGTGCTTTTAGAGTCTTTAAAAATACAGAATGTACTATAAACTAAATTAATAAAACAATAATTCAAAATCAATTACACTAAGCCATCATATCTCCTATACCCTATGAATGGTAGCTCTCCTGTTTTTGTCAATGGCACCATAATTCCTTCAGTTACAAAAAGCTAAAAACTCAAATTTTGGGTTCCTCCATCTGTTTTATTTCCTACCTTCACCAATAATCTATCACCAAGTCTTGCTGATCCTACATGTACAAACTTACCTTTCCCCCCACCATTCCTATATTTACTTCCCTAACTGGCAACAGAGAATGCACCTTCCTTCCATTAACAGGTAAAAGTTAATGTAGTAACCTGTACATTCCTAGAGTGATGAAAAGAGGGAGACTGATTCAATAACCCGAGTATGCCAACTATCTCTTATCACTCTATCTTCTTATTTCAGTGCCCCATTACTACCCTCAAGTCTAAAAATGGAGGCCTATGGCCCAAATGGCATTGGCAAAAAATTATTCTTTGGTCAAGGAACCTTTGGTTGAGGTTTCAAAGTATTTCTAAACCTGACAGAGGACATGTGAACTGGGTTGTAGCATGTAAGTGGATCCTCTTTTAGCAAGACCAAGATGTTTCAGTCCCTGAATTTTTAAAGAAAATCCTAAACAAAAATATTTGAATACATATCATCTCCTTTGTTTGTTTCTTACAAACACATAGACTTCTTCAAAATAACTATTTCATGAGCTAAAAACATTTTTCTCACTGGTGCTTTTGAAGTTTTTAAATAATATTTAATAACTTAATAATAATGTTGAATCAAAAGGGACTTATTTCTGATGGGCACAGCCAGTACATAGGTGGCTAATACAACTTACAAGGGTTGGGATTTGTCAAGCTTTCACCTGCCAAGAAAACTTGAAATGTATAACTTCATTACCCTAATTCTGCTAAAATTAAGTCATAGAGGCCCAGTGGGGAGCTGAGCCTCCACTCCTACCCAGCATCAACAAGGCAGGAGGCAGTGTGGAGTGAGCATCTCATCTCCCTTTACCAGTTCTCTACATGTCAGTAGGGCCCAGTATAGAGTTGATTTTACACCCCATCCATCTGGAAGAAGATAGTGTGAGCCAGGGCCCCACTCTTGCTGACATGATGTCAGCATGACCTGGCAGAGAGCTGAACGTCTATCCCATGCACTATACCTAGACAAAACTGCTTACTAAAAAAGACGAAATATGATTAGGAGTTTCACAATATAATACACAGAATATCAGGGATACAACTGGAAATCATTCACCATACCAAGAAAACAGTTAAAGTTGGGATGAAGAACAGAAACAATGAAGTCAAACTGAAAACAAAAACCAAAATGGCAGAAATGGCAGACATAAATCCAACCACACCAATAATTACACTAAATTGAATAGACTATAAGCAATCTATTCAAAAGGCAGAGATGGTCAGACTGAATAAAAAAGAAAAAAAAAAAAAAGACCCAGGCACTTGGATGGCTCAGTTGGTTAAGCATCCAACGTAGGCTCAGGTCATAATTTCATGGCTCATGAGTTCGAGCCCCGCATCAGGCTCTGCACTCTCTTTCTCTCTCTCCCCCTCTCTCCCCCCAACACTCTCTCTCTCAAAATAAATAAATTTTGAAAAAACAAACAATAAAACAAGACCTAACTATATTTTTCTGTAGAAGAAACACCTTAGATTCAAAGTCACAAGTAGGTTGAAACTAAAAGACGGGAAGATATACCATGAAAATAGTAACCATAAAAGAGCTGGAACTTAAGAAATATTACTGGAGACAAAGAGAGATCAATGCATCAGGAAGATATAACAATCAAATAAAAAGATACCTAATAACAGTAGTAGAATAAAAAGAAAAAGAGACAACTGAGAAATTTTATTTGGAGTTTTCAATAGCACCCTCTTAAGAGCTGAAAAAAGAGCTACATGGAAAAATCAGTAAGAATTTAGAAGTCTTGAACATTATCAAGCAATTTTACTTAACTGACAATTATGGGGCACTCTACCCATCAATAAAAGAACAGATGTTCTTTTTAAGTATACACGGGACATTCTTCAGGTCAGATCAATTTGACCATGAAAAAGTCTTTCTGAATTTAAAATAACTGAAATTCTTCAAAGTTTGTTCTCTGACCACAATGGAATTACATTAGAAATCAACAGAAAGAAATGTAGTAAATTCCAAATATTTGGAAATTAAACAACACACTTAAAAATAACCACAGGTCAAATAATAGATCACAAGGGAAATTAGAAAATATCTTTAACTGAAAAAAACAAAAATAAAACATACCACTAATTACGTGATGAAGACAGTGAAGTACTTAGAGGAAAATTTATAATTTTTAGCACATATTAGGAAAGAAAAGAGGTCTCGAATCAACAGTCTACTCATAAAAAATAAGAAGAGCAAATTAAACTCAAGGCAGTCAGAAGGGAGGAAAATATAAATATTAGTAGTAATCAGTGAAATAGAAAAATACAGGGAAAAAAAAAGAAACCAAATATGGTTCTTTGAAAAGATTCCAAAAATGCAATATCTTAGATTTACCAAAAAAAAAGTGAGAAAACACTAATTACAAAAATTAGAAATAAAGAGTGAACACTGCTACAAACAGGATTATAAGGGAATATTATGAACAGTTTATGCAAACAGGTTAGATAGGATATACAAATTCCTAGAAAGATACAAGTTACCAAATGGGACTCACAGAGAAACAGAGAATCTGAAGAGATTTACAAAAAGAAATTGAATCAGTAATTAGAAATCTTCCTGTAAAGAAAAACAACCCATGCCCAAGTGCCTTTACCTATTAATGTTATCATCACCAAGGAAAAAATAATACCAAATCCTACACAAACTCTTTCAGAAAAATAGATCTAATGGTGAAAGAATGAATTCTTCTTCTAGGACTGGGAATAAAGTTAAGGATGCAAGCTCTCATCATTTCTATACAATGCTACACTAGAGTGTCTCACCAGTTTCACAAGGCAAGGAAAAGTAATTAAAGACATCATATGAAAGAAGGAAGCAAAACAGTCTTTATTCACAGCCAACATGATCCTGTATACAGAAATGCCTTCGCAGGAATCTACCAAAACCAAAAACA